GGGGGGGGGGGGGGATTCTCTCTGCAACATCAGAGTCGTCGAATTATGCTGTCACGAGGAAGAATTTTGGCGCTTTGTGAGATATCGTGGGAATTTGTGATCAGTTGGTCGAGCCAGTCATTCCCGCGTGGAGCTCATGAGTAGAGGCCTTGGGGACGATGTCGAAATGGGGTCGTCATAAGGCCATCTCAGTGGCTACACGGCCTGCCACGGCGTGTGTGCCACGACTCTGGACGACTCTGAACTGGCGCTTGATGCGGGCATAACTTGCGATCCCGACCTTGCGCGACGTGCCTATTAGTGCATTCTACCATCTACTCGCACATGGCAAGCATGGGCGACGCCTCAGGCCCCATGCCGGCCATCCAAGATATGCGTGCGCCAAGGGTTTGCAGCTACCTTAAAAACAACGTGGCAAAGCCAGCGCAAGGGGTAAAACCAGGCGTGACATCCATGAACACGCATTTCCTGAAAAGAATTTTAAGACCCAGCTATACTACCGGGCACGGGACTGCAAGCCCACTGATTGGCGGCCACAGGGTGCAAACATCCAAAATCCTGCTCGTGCAGGTGGGGACCCTGTCCTCGTCCCATCCCTCGTTTGGCGTGTCTGTTTTCTTTCTTTCTTTTTAGGGTGGAAACATTGCGCGGCCGCCGCCGTCGTCGCCGCCGCCGCCGCCGCGCCAGCCGCGTTGCCGCCGCACCCGCCCGCGCCCCGCCGAGAGAGAGAGATTTTTAGCAATCAATACAGGTACTCGCATAATGTGGGTAAACTAAAGTACCGTATACGGTACTAGGAAGCCGCCGGATATAAGTGGGGCCCCGGACGAAAGTGCGGGCCCGGGCGGGGCCGGTTCCAGGCCCGGCAGGGGCACCGGCGCCCACCGGCGGGCCCCGGCCGGGTCAAAAGTGGCCGCTCCCGGGCCGCCGAGCGTGCTTTAGCCGGGCCGGTTTTCTCCTCGCCGGGCCCGCCTCGCGCAAAACGGGCCCGGCAAACCCTCCTGCCCGGGCCCGGCTGTGAGTGAGCGGGCCGGTCGATGTGCCGCAGACGGGCCCGGGCAGGACGGTTTGCCGGGCCGGTTTTCTCCTCGCCGGGCCCGCCTCGCTCCTCGACCTGCTGATTTGGGCGCTTCGGCCCGGGAGTGGCGAGCCGGGCCCGGCAAAGCGCGCGGGCCGGGCCCGGGAGTGGCAAGCACGTGCCCCCCCCCCCCCCCCCTTGCTAGCTGGGATCCGCGTGCGGCCGTGGTGCGCCAAAGTAGGC